TCTTTGTTTCCTGTAATGAATGTTCTGGGTTTTGATCATAACTGAATCAAGTGATTTAGGAAGAGAAGGAGACATCGCAAGGATCAACCTCCCAGTTACAGGGCCCGCTCCAACATCTTGCAGTCTTGAGTCTACCTGTTTATGAGGAAACAGAATGATGTAGAACATGGCCAGGAAAATGATCAAGGGGCTGAACCCCAGCATGGTTATTGGGGGATACATCTCTGTAGACATTTACTGAAATAGCATATATAATGTTTTGAGTGGAGATTGGAGAATAAAATAAGAAACACAGAATCTGGAATGCTAGTGAAAAATAATTAGAAATTAAGGCTTCTGGGTCTAGGACATTCATTCTCAACCTGTGGGTCTTGACACCTTTAGAGGATCAAATGGCCCTTTTACTGGGGTTTCCTAAGACCATCAGAAAATACAGATATTTACATTATGATTCATTAAAAGTGGCAAAATTAAAAAAAAAAGTAGCAAAATTACAGTTATGAAGAAGCAAAGAAAATAATTTTATAGTTGTGGGTCACCACAACATGAGCATCTGTGTTAAAGGCTCGAAGCATTACAAAGGTTTAGAAGCGTGGCCCTACAGCCTCATGAAGCAGCATCCACTCGGTGCCTCCTGGAAGAGAGTTGTTGTAATTAGAGTTTACCAGTTTCTGTGTGTGCCTAGGTAGACCCATAGACAAATGCTACTGTCAGTCTTAATTAGAGCCATTTCTTTGCCCAGTGAGTGGAAACAGACACAAAGATACTTGTCAGCTCAAGATGTGAGAATGAGGGATGGTCAAGTGCTCACTCCTCAACAGGACGCTCGTCTCGTCTTTTCAAAGGCCTATGGAGGAACTCAAAACGGGTGATGAAACAATGTAAGGGCCATGAAACAAACAAACAAACAAACAAACAAACAAACAAACAAACAAACCCCAACCAACCAACAACAACCAAAAACTGATGAGGAAAGGGGTGGTCAATCATTATCCATAGCCACAGTGGCTGCCTACAATGGTCATGCCAACAGTAGGCCATAGACCTACCACCCCTGCTGCTCTTTGGGCTACTGACGGATTCTTGAGCAGAGGCAGACAGGCTCCTATTTGTCTACTCCCTGGTGAAGCCATTATGCTCTGAGGGACAGTCCCAAACCCATGATCACACATGTGATCCTGGCTAAACTCAGTGGGTCACAAAATGATACAAAAGACTTGGGTGTGAGAAAGGGGTGTATGTGTACATGTGTGCCTGTGTGCATTTGTGTGTGTGTGTGTGTGTGTGTGTGTAGACATAGGAACTGGAGGAAGATAACACAGAGTAAAGTTGATGTAGGATATATAGTAATCAGAATGCATTGTATATAGGTATGAAATCATGAAAGAACAAATTTAACACAAGGAAACAAGAAGAATGTGCACATGGTGGTTCACACATAATATTAGCACTTGGGAGGATCACAAGTTCCTGGTCATCCTCAGCTCTAAAGTGAGATCAAGGCTAGTGTGAGTTATTAAGACCCCTCCCCCTACACACACACACACACACACACACACACACACACACACAGAATGATTACATACTTAGAGAAGCCAAGTTAAGGGAGAAAAATGTGTTGACAGGAGAGAAGAAAAAGAAAATGAAATATGAAATAGAAGCGCAGCATTCTGCAAACTCAGTATCAAAGCAATGGGCTGGAATTCTCAGAGATGTCATTATAGCAAATAGTTAATTTTATAAGGCACTGCATTCCTGTAATAAACATTTGTGAATACTCATTTACTCATCTCTGGTACTGGTGTCCCTTTAGATAACCCCCCCTCCACCCGAGTCTTCTCTCCAGTATGTCAGAGATGGACTCACAGAATACTTGAACGAGAGGAATTGACCAATGGAGAAAGTTCACGATATAACTCCAGATACAGGATGGACAGTATGTGCAGAGGCAGGAGGCTTCAGGAAATAATTGGGATAACTGTTTAATGAAACCATTGAAAAATACGTGAAATATTTGACATCCTCAAAGCAATCAATTATTTAGAAGTCTGTTAGTACATGATAGCTCTTCACCACCAGTACTGCTCTAAAACCAAAGTGCCTCCTCGAATCTCTTTCCTTCACTGTGATGACGCGACAGCTGTAGTATCCAAAGAAGTCACAAGCGAAGGAAAAAGCCGTGGAATCGAATCATACGTAATACGGGAGAGAAAATGGTCAGTGTTGGCCGAGAGAAATAGGAAATGATAGTCTGTGAGGAAGGGAGACAATTTCAACCACGGACATCAGAAACAGACTCTGAAGGAGGGTTGTTGAACAGAGTTTGCCTTGTGCAGATTTCAAAGCGTTTCCATCAGCTTCGTTCTGGCGACTTAGAGAAAAGAACATTTGAAAAGGAAAACACTTCGCTCAACCAAACAGGAAGCAAACGAGTAGCCATAGCAGGAGGCAGAGCTCATGGTCACGGGGAAAGAAGCAGGTATTGAAGAGAGAATCAACAGAGAGCTGGGTGAGACGGTAGCTAGAGCATCAGAAAGACAGTGCAGGCAGCAGGGCTTGGAGAGGAGGAGTCAGACTTAACGCTGTGGTCTTTCAGCTCAGAAAACCGTGAAAATGATTGATATGGAGATGAATTGGATGAGATATGGGGGAAAGGAATTAAAGTTGCAGACAAGTCATTTGTTTCTGTCTTACTTTTCTCTTCTTCTAAATTTTCATACCATTTTAATTTTGTGCATGGAACACAATGGTACCTTTCCTTTTGAAAAAACAAAACAAAACAAAACAAAAACCAAACCGAATCAAACCAACCAACCAAACAACCTTCTACCTCTCAAACACTGGCACATAGGAGCTGTGTTTTAAGACCTGTGATTTCTGGTGGGTCGTAGTTGGAGAGGTTTGCTCTGTTTGACCTAAGCTCTCAAAAGACAGCTCTTGCTGGGACAGACATTCCAACGTGGTATTTCTGTATTTTACAAGGGATCTGAAACGCACCACTTCAGAGTGAATTAGGAGTGAGTCTGTACATTTTTCTGTTTAGCAAACTTGAATGGCTTCCCAGGGAATACATTCTCTTCTCCCAACATCTTTCCCTGAGTCCCCAAACAGATTAGCACACGTTTCCCACATTGTCATCAGAGAGAGCACAAGGGAGAGATTGGGCATAGGGCATGATAATTTTACACTTGAGACAGGGATGTACAAGATCTGAAGTTTCTAAACTCCTGGAAGACTCTTGGGTACAAGGTATCTTTTGTGCTCCAGCAAAAACTAACACAAGACATAGACTAATCCCTGTAGATGGCTAGGCCTGCAGACTCTGTACCTGGAGGCTCTTATGTTCAGTGCTGGGAAACATTTTCATACTGTTTTCTCAGTGCCCAGTCTTTACTTATAACAGACAATAATTACAAAGACAGCTTTTGTTAATATTCAAAAGGCCCCAAACAGAGAAATGTAAACACAATTTCTCTTACCTCTTAACAACTTCCTCCCGTGTTTAATCTCATGGGGGTCCCCTCCTCCTCTTTTCCATCATTGCTGCTGCTGCCCACCCCTCCCTCTGGAACGCTTACACATTCGAGTTTCACTGAGTGACAGCTTGGGGAAATTCTCTGATGGACGCGTGGTGCCATCCAGACGCAGGAGCTGACAAAGCCCGTCCATTGGAGGAAGTTTCAGAAGTGCCCTTAATGCTTTTTAAAGTTCATTTAAGTAGGGAAATCTTTAACTTACATATATTGCACCGAGATACACCAAAACAAACAAACAAAAAAAACCAAAGTTATCCAATGTGCAGTTTTTAAAAAAAAAAATCTAGAAAAAAACTAACAGTGTACTATAGTTTGAACATTACATACAATTAAAGCAGCACTTTTTGGCAAGATTGCCTCTGTCTCTACCAAAAGAGCATGGTCACCTGACTCATGCTGGAAGTAGTTTCTGACCCTAGGAAGGACCCTGGAGGCTTGTGAGGCATCCTCAGCGCATCCCTTGCCGGTTTGGTCCTGAGGCAGTGACCCTTGTCATGTCAATGGTTCTTATCATGTAGTTGAACTGCTCTGATTTGATTGGTCAGGTCTTGAAAACTCTCCTATGACTCAGTCTCCTTGCAGGTCTTAGGCAACTTTCGGTCAGATTCACAAGCTCCTTGGCCTTTGGAGTCTCTTCAGAAAAAAATGGGCATGTTTTGGGGAGACGGCTTTATCTTCATCCCTTCAGGACCCACAGTGACCACTATCAATATGCCTGGATGTCACATTATTAGCTTTCTGTGGCTGCGTGTTGGGTGGGTATAGGCTGCCTTTAGGTAGTGATTAGGTGTTGTAGGGAGGAAGATGGCTGTTTCTCAGTATAGACTTGGACTCTGCACTCCTTATCCCACATGCCATCAGGTAGGGTAACCATTTACTTTAATATGCCATCTTGGAAAACTTTGAGACTAGAAAGGACTGCTATGATAATTCTGAGTATATAATATTTTAATTAAAACACTAACGTACAATAAAATTTTGATAAAACATTCAGATGGCTCTATCTACTTTTTGTCTAAAAAAATACTTTACCAAAAAGTAAAAATGTTGTGTATCTATGTACAGATGAACTGGGAGCCCACACCTTTTCCCCCGGATGAGACTGAAAGAATATCAGATTTTTTTTTCATAAGAAGGTCTCTAGTTCAATAGCAGAGGGCAATGAGGACATTCCTCTTAAGGACCTCTAGTCCAGAGCTGAGACTGTGGAAGTTCCCAGTCTCTGTCATATCAACAGACATGACTCTGGTGGCAGAGTTCTTCAGTTACCCAGAGAACAGTAGTCACTTGCTAGACAAGCAACATCGCTGAAGAGGCCATTGGGTCAGTGACCTTGGTGTATCACTCATGGGCAGCTCTTGGCTGAGTAACACTTTCAGTGAGCAAAAGTCTGCAGGTGTTTTGGCGTTGGATCTTTTGATATCCTGGGAGAAATGATTAGAGCCACAAAGCTCATTCTGCAGAGAGAGCACCCAGAGGGAGGGAAGAAACAAGATCAAAGGAACCTGCTGACCAAGTGACCACAGATGTACTCTTTCCCCTGCAGCCATTTTTCATGATTTACCAGAAGGTAAGAAGCATTAGCCATAGTTGCTCAGGAAGACGAGCCCTTTAAAAGTAAAACATGTAAAACATGAAAGTCACGATAGTCACAATCTAGGAAATACCACCTCAAAGAAAATACCCAGAGAGATTACATTATTTGGGACTAAAAAAACAAACACTGTATTAAAACTGTCAGCTGGAGGAAGTGAACACGAGAAAGCAGCGTATTCTCAAACGAGCTGGAACGGCCTTTTTCAGTCCCGCCATTATTTACATGCCTTCAACCTCAACTAAAGTTTTCAAATAATTAATAAGCAAAGAGTAACATGCTATTTGCATCTTTTCAAGTGAACCTGAAAATGGTAAGTTCTCGCTTTTGTTTAGGGAAAGCAGGGGCTGGGGCGGGGGAGGGGTATCGCGGTCATTATGTGTCTCAGTGTTTGCAAATGGATGCCATCCATTAGTGCTGACCTCGCGGGAGCGATTTACCAGCATGTCTCATATTTTCCTCCAGAAGTGGAAACAGGACAGCACCCCAGTTTACCCCTTAGGGCCCCCGTTCAGCCCTCCTAAGGATGCTGAGCCTTTTCATCTGGGACGACAAGAAAGGACTTTTGGGATATATGTGGTGGTGGTATGATAGACTTTGGGGTTTCAGATCACTCTGGCGCCATCCTGATGGGGGGTTAGGCAGTGACACAGAGCTGATCAATACTTCTGGGATGATGGCCAGAGGAGTCAGAACATCCAGAAAATAACATCTCTCTGTAGCCAAAGGCTTCAGCCAGTGGCAAAAGAGTTTATGGTGGGGTCATGCCAGGAGAGTCTGACACCCCAGAGGACAGTTTTGAGCAATAGTTATTTTGCAAATATAAAATTTCTCTTGCTAAACAGGTTGCTTTTCCCCTCTAGTTTGGTAATCCCTATAACTTTATTTTTTTACTAGTGTTTAAAAAATGAGTCAGGTTTTTAAAACATTGGCAGGCAATATTGTCAGTTTCTCTTTTCACTCTTGGAAAGATAATTCAAGGCCAAGAAGGTCCAGTGCCTCATCCTGTGATCTGAAGGTGTGCTAATGTTTTCTTTTCCATTGTCTCTGAAGCAAGTAGATCAACCCTAAGTCTGCATCTTCTAGAACTGGCTGTGCTCTCTCCTTTTCTCTCTAAAAAAATTTATTTATATTAATTTTGTGTATATGGATGTTTTGTTTGCATACCTACACACTACATACATGTGGTACCCGTGGAAGCCAGATGACCCCTTAGAACTGGACTAGAGTTACCATGTGGGTGCTGGAAATGGAACCTGAGTCCTCTGGAAGAACAGCTGGTATTCTTAACTGCTGGGCCCTCTCTACAGCCCCTGGACTCATGCTTTTCTTTTTTAAATTAGCATTTAATTTTTAGAATTTCATACATTATATTTTAATTATATTTTCCTTTCCCCTAAATTCTCCAGATTCTCCCCCGCCTCTCTTCCCTTACAACTTTATGTTCCCCCATCTTAAAAACAGAAATGAAAACAAAATCTAAACAAAACATGCTCCTCTTCCCCCCACAAACACACAAATGGAGTGTTGGCCAATTGCTTCTGAGCATGGGGCATGCCCTGGAGTATAGTTGATATACCCAGCATCATTTTATTGAAGAAAACTGATTTACCCTTTTTTCTTTTTCGATTTTAAATAGTTTTCTGACTAAGGGTGGGACCTTTGTGGCTACTTCCCCTTCTCTACGCTCAGATTTTTTTCTGGACTGAGCTTGTACAAGTATTTGTGTGTATGTGTGTGTGTGTGTGTGTGCGTATGTTATCACAGTCTGTGTGAGTTCATATATGCATCAGTCCTGTTGTGTGTCTGGAAAATACTGCTCTTTTTACTTTCTCTTGGTTACACTTTTCTTGGACACTCTTTCTACTTTCTCTTGCACACAGATCCCTGAGCTTTGAGGGGAAGGGTTTGATATAGACAACCCATTTAGAGTAGAGTGCTCCCAAGTCTCTCACTCTGCACATAGTTTAGTTGTGGGTCTCTGTGGCAACTCCCATGTACTGCAAGAAGTTTCTCTCATGGGGGTTGAGTGATGAATGGATCCATAGATACGGCAATGTGTTACCAGGAGTTATTTCATTGCCATGTTCATTTAGCAGAGAGAAAGTCATAGGTTGTCTCCTAGGACCCATGCTCTACCTAGTCTCATATTCTTGGCTTAATTAACAATGTCAAGTATGGGGCCTATCTTGTGGAGCAGACCTCAACCTTCATTAAAAAGAGGTTTGTTACTCCCCTAACATTTATGCCTGTATCGAATCGATGGTTGGTCAGGTGACTGTTGTCCCTCATATGGTTCGGATCTGGGTGTGTCGACATTCACTTGACTCTTGTAGTGTGTATAGCACTTTCCAGCACTGTGAATGCTAGTCACTGGGGGTGAAGCCAGTGGTTGGGCACCAGCTCCACCTCTCCATGTTTGATGACATGAGTATATGCTGTTTTCAACAATAGAATCTTGTTGTCAGGGTGTGGAGGGTAGCCAGGAGCAACAGAAATAGGCTGTGATGTCCAGAAAAGGTCTACGGGATCACTTTGGCCAACAACTCCAAAAGATGCAAACCATTCTTGCTACTGGGGTTTTTATTTGGCACAAGGGTGTCTGGTTAAGGTATTGACTCACAGAGACGGCCTGGCTCTGTTTCTCCAGTGCTGGGATTAAAGGTGCATGTCATTTCTGCTCGGTTCCATTTGGCTTTTGAAAAGGCCTTTAGCATTTAGTTATCTCTCACACAGTCCCTCCTTTATGATGCCCTCCCACGCCCCACTTCCTTCATTCCTCCTGTTGTAATTTTCTCCTTATGTCTTTATGAAACTTTATTCTACTTCCTGGACTAACTCTTAACAGTCTGCATCGAGGCCCCATTACTGTGTATTGATGTTCTGAAAAATAAGATATCAAACACCTTTTTTCTTTTTGCCATTGTTCTAGTATAGAGTTTTGTTTTCAGCTTGATAGGTCCACACAGCAGAACCCTGCCAGGGGAGGTTTTTGAAATGAAGATGGGTTTATGTAGGCAGCTGTATTCTGTTACACAGTATCTTGTGCCTTGCCTCCAGGAAGATATCTGTATTCCCCTAAGTGTTTGATCGAGGCTCTCGGTTTCTGATTCTTTTATGCTGGTGGCTGCCAGCTGCAGCAAGCAGTGGGGACATCTCCTCTCTGGGGCCTTCTGATGTCAGGGTCAGGGGAAGTTCAGACTTCAGGTCAGATGTCCTGACAGAACTTTGTTTGCTTTGCTCCTGTGTCTTATATTTTCCAGATCAGAATCCCAGGAGTCACAGTAACAGACACAAAGCAGTAAAGCAGTATTCCCCCACCTCACAGTCTCTGGTGGTGCACTTGGAGAGACCTATAGCCCATGGCGATTTCTTTCCAGTAATCCTAGAAGTCCTCGGGGAGTGTCTGTGTTTTCTAGCTTTACTCATAATCAAACGTGCCCAGCATTTTCCTCTTCTCCTGATCCAACTTGCTGTGACAACGCTCCGGTTCCCTGGGAAACTGCAGGTGGCTACCCCGTCCATCGCTCAGCAACAATGGCATCTCTGGGACTAGTGCTCACCGGGGGAGCTCTGGATAAGAAGACACATTCTGCTTCCCCATAAATGCTCCTGCTTACTGAGGCAAGCCTTCAGTAGAGGGCAGCTCTGTCTGCACAAATACTGGTGCAAATATTAAGAATGCGAGACACTGTTCTGTGAATGGATTCACACGCTCCTAACTGTCTGTTGGTGTTCACCAGCCTCCCGTGAGCCCTCCTTCTCTCTCCTGCCCATTTCCTCTGGTTCTCCTCCTAAGGAGCTCTCCAGGATCCTTTAGGCCTGAGTCCTTCCAGATATGTGGACCAGACTGGAGATGTGAAAGCAACCAGCTCTCTCTGCCCTTTCTGTTGGTCCAGAAGTTTCTCCTCCGTGCCTGCCAATCTAAGTTACTCTTTTTTTCTCTCCTTCTGTCTCTTTTTCCCTTCTTTCAGCAAATATCAATTATGTGGCCTTTGTTTAAGGCATAGGGCTGATATGACCGGGCTATACACATAATATGGTCATATTCTTTTCTTACAGGAACAAATTTAACTCTTTCACTTTTCCTGAATTTGTCATCTTTATAAATTCCCTCCTCCATCTGAATTCTTGTGACATTCCTAATATGTATTGTAAACTTTTTCTTATTTTATTATTAGTTTTTAGGTCTCTGGCAGTCTTGGGCTTCCTGTATAGCTTTTATATACCTTCAAGTTACTGAGACTCACCGGCCCTTGTGTGATGATAACTCTTGAGCATGTGCTTGCTGACCTGACTAACCCTAGAAGGTGTGCGGGATTTGAGAGATTTAATAAATGGATCTGACCCCTGCACGTGGGCACACGCTTTGTCGTCAACTGCCTCTCCTTGTCCTATGTTATAACTGAGTCCTAACCTTAGTGCATGACTCTAACCTTTCTGAAGCATCCTCAACACAGACGCTTGTCAGACACAAAACTTCTTTTTTGCAGCCCTGGGAGTCGAATCCAAATCTGAAGTTGATGGGGCAAATGCAGTACTACCGTGCATTTCAGTCATGTCCCTCAGTCCTCTGCTATCCCAGCTTGCCTCCCACACTCTAACTGACTGCACCTCCTCTCTTCCACTTAGAAACAGCATTTTAAGGCTTTAGAGTGCGTGTCCCCTCCTCATGAACACACATATGTGTACTGTGGTAGGAGAGGTATATCTAATCTTTGCCTTGCCTGCGCTCTATGCTTTATGAGGTGTTGAAGCTACCTAAATGCCTGTTTGTGTCTGCAAATGGTCAGTACGCCTTTGTGGACACAGACTACCATTTGTTCACCCCCCACCCCCAGATCCTGCCTCTGTGACCAGAGTTTAAAGCCAGCAGCACATGAGACACAGAAAGCCTGGAGGTGAGGGTGTGAACTGCTCCCCGACAGCATGAGGGTTCTCACCTTGGGGTGAACCGTGACGACAGAAGACTTTGT